GTGGAACAGTAGGATCTCTCATTCACTGTTGATGGGAATGCAAAATGGTATAGCCAGCCACTTTGGAAGACATTGGGGCAATTTCTTTAAAAAACTAAACATATGCTCACTATACAATCCAGAAATTTTTCTTTGGTATTTATCCAAAGGAGCTGAAAACATATCCACACAAAAATATGCACATGGATGTTTATAACAACTTTACTCATAACTGTCAAAACTTGGAAGCAACCCAGATGTACTTCACTAGATGAATGGATAAATAATGATATACCCATTTATTCAGTGCTTAAAATAAACGAGCTATCAAACTATAAAAAGACATTGAGGAATCTTAAATGCATATTACTAAGTGAAAGAAGCCAATCTGAAAAGGCTACATACTGTATGACTTCAAGTACATGACATTCTGTTAAATGTAAACTATGGAGATACTAAAAAGATCAGTGGTTGCCAGAATTTGGAGAGGAATGAATAGGTAGAACACAGAGAATTTGGTAGAGCAGTGAAACTACTCTGTATGATAATATAATGCTGGATACATGTCATTATACATTTACCCATATCCATAAAAAATACACTAAGAGTGAGTCTTAATGTAAAATAAACTATGGACTTTGATAATTTTTATAAATATACTATTCTGACAGGAAATGTTGATAATGGGGGAGGCTATGTATGTGAGGGGGTAGAGGATGTATAGGAAACTTCTTTAGCTTTCTCTCAACTTTGCTGTGAACCTAAAACTGCTCTAAGAAACAAAGACTTTTTAAAGTAAATTTATCACGATTGAAAGAACAGCTACCTGCAACAACATGAATGAATCTCACAAATAATGTGAAGTGAAAGAAGACAGTCACAATTCCAAGTATATAAAGTTTAAATATCTGTAAAACAAAACTGTGTTGTTTAGGGATGCTTACTTATATGGAAGATAAACCTATAAAGAAAAGCAAAAGAAATGATACCACAATAGTAAGGATGGGGGTTACTTCTAGGATAGAGGAGGAATGTCATTACTGCAGATTAGGGGGCAGGGAGAGTGAGGGGATGGGGGTTATCAAGATGTTCTACTTCTTGATCTGGATCTTCCTTACATGGTTGATAGCTTTATAAATGTTCTTTCAGCTGGCAGTTCTCTTCTTAATGCTTCTTTCCTGATGAAATGGAAACCAAGGTCACCAGCTGGGATTGAGGATGAGGAAAGAGGTGTTGAGGATTTGATGAGAAGGAAAATGGTATGAAAGGAACAGACAAGTTGGAGAGTGAACAGAGCAGAGAAATATATTCCTTATTTTATTCTTTTTATGAAAACTTTTCACAATTTCTTGATTGTTATGCTTTTTCTATTATATATGAGGTAACATTATTTTATTAATTTTTAAAAAGATTTTATTTATTTATTTTTAGAGAAAGGGGAAGGGAAGGAGAGATAGAAACATCAATGTGTGGTTGTCTCTCATGCACCCTCACTGGGGACCTGGCCTGCAACCCAGGCATGTGCCCTGGCTGGGAATGGAACTGGTGACCCTTTGCTTCGCAGTCCGGTGCCCAATCCACTGAGCCACATGAGCCAGGGCTATTTTATTAATTTTAATATACTACATTATATGCAGTTATCCTAAACATATAGTTAAATTATTGTTATTTAATGCTTTAAAATAAATTTTAAAGTAAAATTAGGTCTTAAAAAACCATATGATTGTAAAAGTAGTTTTAATACATTAGTCATTTATTATTTCAGCTTGCATTTTGGAAAAGCTGATGCAGTTTATATTAAGACAAAAATACACAGAGTTTATACAGGGAATTTTATTCTTTTTCTTTCCTTAAAGATTTTATTTATTTTTAGAGAGAGGGAAAGGGAGGGAGAAAAGAGGGAGAGAAACATTGATGTGAGAGAGAAACAACTATTGGTTACCTCACACACATGCCCTGACCGGGGGCTGAACCCAAAACCCAGGCATGTGCCATCATTTTGCTTCATGGGACAACACCCAACCAACTGAGCCACACTGGTCAGGGCAGGGAATTTTATTCTACTTTCAACTTTTTATACCAAGTAGCTTTATTTTTAAATTTTACATTTTATAAGTTTTAAAGACAACAGTATTTATTACCTCCTTATTTTATTGATCCCAACTTCAAAAGCCATTTTAAATGTCAGAAAACATAACCACATTAACATCACAAAACTAAATATTAACATTTAAAATTAAGAGAAACTATTATACTCTTATACTTTATTCAGAAGATTTAAATGGAAAAGTTGATAGGTTTATATAATTTTGTAACTTTTGTTTTTATATGAACCAACTTGTAAAAGTCAATTATTTAAATTATAACATGCTTTGGTTGTAAATCCATATTTATATTATAATTCCATAGCTTCAAGTAATAACATACCTAATGTAAAATTAAAGTTTTTATAAAGGCAAATATAGTAAATTGAAACAATTACCACCAATGTAGGTTTTAAGTATGCCATGAGATTTCATTTTCTAATATTCTATAATAACTATGCCATTGTCATAGAGCTAAAAGTTTCTTAAAGAATTTGAATATACAAACATTGACTCTAGAAATACTACAATTTCCAACTCTCAGATAGTCCAGGAAAAATATTATGAGTGTGTGTAGCTAGAGGATGAATTCTCAAATAGTAAAGCAACTTTTATTAATGTTAACATTAGCTAAATTTGGGTAAAGGGTATATGAGTGTTATTTATACTTTAGTTATGCTGGCAAATTTTCTGTAAGTTTGAAATTATTTCTAAATAAGTTATAATGAAGAAAGGGACATAGACTAGCAGTGACTTAAGTGGAAATTGACAGCATATGTGGAAAGAAATGCATCTCTTCCATTAAAAAGTGGGCAAATACAGTTTATCCTTTTCAGCTTAAAAACCAAAGTCAGAGCTAAAATGCATTTTTGTAAATAATATCTTCTTTCTTCTGAGCTAACCTGGAAATATAATCAGCTGCTGTTCTAGTTTTCCTTCCCTTGTATGTCCCCTGTCCTCGAATCCACAAGCAGAGTACTGCCCCACCCTATCTAAGTCTGCAAGGTATCAGACGTGGGAACTCATCTGCAGCTATTCTAGACCAGCCATTTTCTGTTGACCTTGATTGGAAATGTTGTCTGCTCTCTTATCACCCATAGTGTTGTCTTTAACTTCTGTGATAGCCAGGAATTCTTACTCCAAAGGATCTACAATCAACCAGGTCATTACAAATGACAAATTCGGCTCAGTAAGGATGTGCAAGTTTAGGTCATTATCATATCTATAAGGGAAAAACTGCAGCATATGTCGTCAGAAATTCTCAAAATTCCAGTTGAAAAGAATAGGACAATTAAGGAATATGTTTCTATTGGTGAAATTTCAGTTCCTATAAGTGTTGCTAATAGCAAACATGCCATCAATAACACAAACTGGTCGAATATTCCAATTGAAAGTCATTTTATTATCATTATTATTATCAGGAGCAGCATCATTATCATTAGCACAAAACTAAATCCACTAATAAAAGAAAACAAAATTACACCCCAAAGGCATGTGTCTTACTGACAGTGAGTCGTTAACATTATCTTCATGTACAAAAGACAGCACCTTGAAGATAATGACCATATCACAGCTTGATAATCAATTCAATAATTCAGCTAACATTATTGAGCACCTAGGCATAATAGGAGATTTAAAAATGTGTACAAGAATCCCTGCTTTTAAGGAGTTTTACAGTCTAGTAAGAGGTATTGTAGAACACCAAAAACATAGGGCTACATGAGATCAGTGACATAATGGAATCAGTGCCATGTATGAAATGTTATCACAAGTGACTATTGTCATATTCGGTTGTGGGAAGCCAGAACAGGATCCACAGTGATGGTGGCATCTAAGCTGGGCTTTGAGGTTCTTGAAGGATTTTCACAGACTGGCATGTGGAGGAGAGGCACTGGAGGCAAAAAGAATTAAGTATGGGCAAAAATATGGCCACAGGAAAGTTTGTGGCATTTTGGGGGAGAAAACAATAGTTCAGTTTGGCTGGTATATGAAACCTATGTAAGTGGGAGTGGTTTGATAAAATGCTGAAAGTTATATGAGTACCATATTGAATGGCTCTGAACTACAGGCTAAGATTTCTGATCTTTAATCTATGTCACAGTTATTATATAACTACAGCAATAAAATATGCAATGATCTGTAAAGAGATATGGTCATTGCACTTCCAGATTTCTTAGGGAAACTAAAGTGGTTTCTAGGCAATGTCATTGCTTTGCTATCAAAAATGTCCCAGCAGATAACCCCAAGCAATCTATAGTAATTTTTTTTTCTATTTTACATGCAACTACATCTCTTCCTTCAAAGTCTATTGTTTCTACCCATCCAGGGACCACAGCTGTACCCACTCTCACTTCCAGCTCACCAGTTCTTGTGGCACCTAATCAGTTGAAACAAGTCTAACTTAGGATTTCCAGCTACAGCTGCTACCCTAAAGCTAGGACCCACTGCTGTGAGAAGTGAGAATAGTGGTAGTAGGCGTAGTGAACAATGTCATGAAAATGTAGCCATCTGAAAAGTCCTACATAATCCCCATCCTAAGAATCAAGCTTTGTTTTTGGAAACTGCAGTTTCTGGTCCTCCACTCAGTTTGGTGCAGAGGACAACTAGATGGGTCCCAAAACTCACAGTGCCTAATTAAAGTTTCCTCTTATTGTCAAAAAATTCCTTAAGGAATAACATTTCATCTGGGTTACAAGTTATTTAAAGGTCTCCTGGGTCTGAGGCTGTTGAGCTGTGGATAGACAGGAGAGACCAAGGAAGCCAGCTGGACTTTGTGCCCAACAAGCTGGTAATTAGGAACCTCTCTAGTGCACTGACAGTTCAAAGATGCTAAAGAATGGCTGTATTAGGTAACCAAGCCAAAGAAGTAAGCTATTTAGACAAACCCAAGAAGGCTTAAAACAACAAAATTGTCATGGCCACACTTCTTGCAGCTAGTCAGTCTTTCAGCTCTTTCCTGGAATGAGACTTTCTCTGAAGGAAGTCATGGATAGCAGTAGTGAGGCCCCATGTTACACTGGACCTTAGGATGACGAGGGAGCCTCCACGGTAAATCAGGAACACTTTTCGTCCCCGAGTGTCCCACATATCCCGGGCAGAGGCCCACAGGCTGGGCATGCTCTGCCAGCCAATGTGGGACTGCATATTGGCAACCAGCACAATCAGAGGATAGAGAACTAGGCAGGTGATCGTTCCATTGACACTCCCAGACACCAAGGCAGGAACCCAGTGGGGTAGGCCTTGCTTTGCCAAGCCATCCTGGATAGGGTCCTTGAAGGAGAAATACAAAGCACTCCCCAGGCTGTTCCTGAGAAGAACAGGCCAGAAACCACGATAGTAGCCTAGTGACAGCCGCCCCCAAAGCCCGTAAGAGTTGAATTCCTTGAGAATGCTGAAGGTGGTAGGAAAGCGAGCTTGCTTGCGACCATCCTGGAGCACATTTTGTACTCTTTCAAAGGGGCTGAGTGCCACAGCCTCGACAACACCAGACATGAGCCCTGCAGCCCAGCGGTGTCTCAGGGAGTGTGGCCCATCTGGGGAGAGAGAGCACAGCAGGCTATCATAAGTCCCAAACAGTAGAGTCCCTTGCAACGTCTTGGAGAGAAGAGGTGGGTAGATTCCCCGGTAGAAGTACTGGGGGCCTTCATGCCAAAGCTGTCGCAGAGCCTCCGACACTGCCACAGCATGGATCTGCTGCCGGAACACAACCTTGTAAATAGGAAAGGTCAGAAAAGTAGACATAAAATTGGAAATGGCCCCAAGGGCGTAGGCCTGGGAGTGCCAGCTTTTCTTTCCAGGAGTCTCTGATTGAGTCCATTGCTGAAGCTCATTCCCAGGAGACTGGTTCTGTTCCCCCATGCTGGAGACAACTGGGTGCAGATGGAAGAAACTGGCAAGAGTTGGGGGGGGTAGAGGTTAGGCTGACCATTATATCTGTTGGTGAGCATTTTCACTGTTTAGTTAGAAAGAGAGCCCCAAGAAGCTCAGTTTAAGGAAACAAGCCAATCTTTGGGCCAGTTTCTGAGAAATAAGCACACTGTTAAGAAAAAATTAAAACAAAGGCATTTAGTTTTTCCAGACAGAGTTACCTCTACAGCGTTTGGCTGACACAGCAAATATTCTAATATTCAAAGAAGGTTTAAGATTGAAGAAAATAAAATTGGAGAAGGGCTCCAAAACCTATTGCGTTTAACTTCCACCAAATGAAAATTCACATTTGATAAATTGCTAGAATAATAAGTTGCTATTCTCTTTCTGAAAAGTAGCACTATCTTGTTGAGGCAGAAAGATACTCAAAAGTTATAGTCCTGTACTTTATCTAAAAGTTGGTAGAAATTTTGGGAGTGGGGAGTCTCCCTCTATTTCCTCTCTGTAGATTCTTGCCAATGTTGTAACTATTTCATGGCAACATCCCCCCAATCGCCCCTCCAGAATAAGAAACAGAGAGAGGAACTATTCCTAGAAATTCAGAGCCAAAAGGCTCTGCATCTGGCGATTTCCAAGCTTAACCTTGCAGACCTGTAGCTACATGACAGAGCAGAGGTTCTCAGCCTTGATGCTATTGACTTCTTAGGCCAGATAATTCTTTGTTCTTGTGCTTGTCCTCTGCATCATACAATATTTAGCAGGATCCTGCCCTTCTACTTGCTGGATGCCAGTAGCACAAATCGTGACCTACCCAGCTATGACAACCAAAAATATCTCCAGACATTGCCATATGCCCTGGGGAGAAGACAGACAAAATCATTCTTGGTTCAGAACTATTATACTAAAGAGAAGAAGCAGTACTCAAGAAGAAATTAATGCTCAGTGCAGATCTGAGAACCCGAGGGAGTTTGTCAGGAAGGAAATAAGGACAGACTCACTTCCTCCTCATATTTTCCTGAGTAGCTTATAAACACATGTTGACTAGCTGTATAAGGTAGGCTGTCTTAGCATGAAGAAAACTGGGCTAGGATTTGCCAGACCAGCATTCTAAGTGCCAGTCTATTATCAACTTCCTGTGTGATATTTGGAAATTCATTTATATCTAGGAGCCTCCTCTGTCTGAGTTATAAAATGAACAAACAGGGCAAAATGCTCTCTAAGCATCCTCATACTGTGTATGGCAGAGGGTGACAAGGGGGTATTTGGGCAAATATTTGATAGAGGAATTAATTGTACCTTTTCATTCCTTATTTTTCTGCCTTTTTGTCAATCATTTTTAGGGATTAAAGGTGAATAATTTAGAAATATCTTACCTTAAATATCTAATTAGTCATTTTATAAATCTAATTTTCCTATGTAATGGGGGAATGGAGAGTCCACTTTTCTCTGTTAAGATGTTAGTCTTTGGGGGCAGACAGACGTGAGACTGAACCCTGCCTCTACACATAGCTGTGTGACCTGTCAAGACACTTCGCTCAGTTTCGGTTTCTTCAGCTACAAAATAGGGACAATAGGTCCCCTTCAAAATGTTGCAAAGATTAATAAAATCAAATGAGATAAAGTGGTTGAGCAGCCATGGCACAGGGGCCTCAGTAAACTTGGGGTGGGGGCTGAGTGTAGGGGGTTGGAGGGATTGAAACAAAAAAGAAAAAAAAGAGAAAAATGCATGGACATACACAAGTGTAGTGATTGCGGGAGTGAGTGGGGGCTGGTGGGATTGAGTGAAAAAGAAAAAGAATAAAAGTTTAGGTACTTTTCATTTAAAAAGTTAAAAAAATAAAAAGATGCTTCTTGACCTCACAGCTATCTCTACAGAGCAAATGTTCCTGCAGGATGCTCTCAGGCCAGCCAGAACCAGGTGACGTGGTATGGTAGAACCAATCCCATGTGCATTGGGAGGCAGGAAAGACCTTTCTTCTGTGAATGCCAAGGTGTTATTAAACAATCTCAGACAGCCTGGTGCCTTAAGATGACCTCCAGAGTCAAGACGACAGGGTGGGCCTGGAGTCAGCCTTAAGCTGTTATCTCCTGCACCCTATGATGTGCTTCCTGCATTTAAAGCGTAGTAAAGTGAACCTGGGGGATTCCAGACTCCCCTGGCCAGACTAGTCCAGATAGACAGGCTGTGTGGCCATCCCAGGATCCAGCCCCACATTTGTCCATTCATGCAGGGCATACCTGAGCTAGTCTTTTGGTTAGCTCACAAACATGTATTGATCATCTATTAAATCACTGTGGGTAAATCACTGTAGAGCTGGAGGTGAATAGGACTTGGTGCCTGCCCTCAAGAGCTTGTGAATCTAGTGGGGGAGACAGCTCAACAATGAGTTAATCTATACTGAAAGGCAAAATAAAGTGTGTAATCAAGGTCAGAGCAGAAAGACAAGAGCAATGTATTCCACTTGGGTCAGGGAGCAGCCAAAATTGTTCTCTGAGTAGGGGCATCCCTGACTTGATCTTCAACTGGTGAGTAGACTCTCATTAGGTAGAGGAGTGAAAACAGGCATTGTAGGCTGAGGAAGAGGCCTAAGGTACACTGGCCTAAAAGCATGAGTGGTGCATGGCACTGGATACAGGAAGGAAATAGAGCTATGGCTGACAGAGAAAAGCAAATTTAGAATGAATATTTGTTTTCCCCACTGTAACACATTGTGGCCTACAGACATGGGCTTTGCAGTATGATAGCTCTGGATTTGAATTTTGCAGTGTCACTTCCTAGCTTTATGACCTTGGCCAAGTCTCTTCATCTCTCTGCGCCTCAGTACCCTTATCTGTAAAATGACTCTCATGAAGGATACATGAGATGAAGTATATAAGATGCTTAACATGGTACTTAGTATTTAAGTTGCTCTATAAGTTACATTAGTAGTTTCACTTTAAAAAATGAGATCTCAGGAATAAAGATTACAACTACATTGTTCTAAAGGCTGAAGTCAGTATAATTCACTGGGTCATATGCAGAGTCTATTTTCAATTATCTGTTTGGAAAACAGCAGAGAATAGTCGTTCGTGGCTTTTGGAGCTAGTACCTCCACTAACCAGTTGTGGTGACCTTATATAACTTAGCCTTCCTGAAACTCAGTTTCTGGATCTGCAAAGTGGGACAACAATGCCTGTCTCAACAGGGTTGCTGAGAAGCTTAAATGAGATAACATATGGAAAGTTGCTGGCACAGAGGTAGGCAGCCACGGGCAACTACTACTGTTTGAACTGAAAGCTTTTATCCCCCAAACCTTGGGGCTTTTAAGGTTCCTTTGTGGAAATTGGAAAATGTGGTCACATTAGAGCTGTAAATTGGAATACACTCCCACATGAGGCCAGAGATAAAGAATGCTCTGTACCCAGTTGGAGCCAGATTAGCAAATCTTCCCCCCAGACTTGCACAAAGAGATCCCCACTTGATTCCAATGGCCTTATCCAGGCAACTTTACACAATCCATTTCTTTAACTATTTTTTGTCAGAGCTCTAAGATCTACTCTTTGTCCTATTTGATCCACTTCACTGGGTCCAACTGCAGATCACCTAATATGGCAAAGAAGCCAATTTAAACACAGGAGAGTCTGCTGAGACCCTGGGTTAGATGTCATGGGATTGGGGAGCAGAAGCAAGAGTCTAAAGGAAACCCAAGAGCTACTACACATCACCCCTGACTGTGTGAGGCGAACCTTCTACCTCCTACAGCCTCCACAGCCCCTCCACAACAGAAAGTCTACAGTCTTCAGATGGAATGTGCTTCATCTCCAAATTTAATTGTTTACTCTAAGGAACTCCAAGTATTGGGGTTGTAAATAAGAAGGCAGAAAGGAGCAGGTGAAGTGCCTCAGCCGGCAGAAGATGAACCAACCCAGCATTCAAAGGGCATAAAATTGTTCATTTGCTTTCAAGCATTCAGAGTCTAGAATAAGATCCACGGGGTCGGGGGGGCCTCCTAGCCACAGTTGACATAAGGGAGGTAAAGGCCTGCTCTCCAAGAACCAAAGTCATGGAAAATGGAGCAGGTTTCCCAGCCCCTGGCTTCATGACCCATTCACTCTGGACAGCCCTGCATGCCGTTTCCATGGAGTTGTTCCTTCTCTGGGGCCAGTGATGGCAAATACAGCAAAGGAGAGGTCCCCTCAAGAGCTTACAGAAGGGCAACCTAGCAACCTGTCCTGAAGCCAGGAAATGAAAGAGCTCTATCAGTGGCAGAGAGCTGTGGTTGGGGGTTAGGTCAAATTGTGTTTCATTTCTCACACTTCTTTCTCAAGTTCAAGTTGAAAGAGGAAGCTATTTCGAAGAAAAATTGTAGGGGAGTGGTTCTGGACACCCGACTCATTTGAAAATCTACTAAGGTGTGGACTCAGAAAGACACAGAGTCCAAATTCTTTGCCAACAATTTTAGGAAGGACCCTGGATAGGAACCTCTGCTCTGCAGTTGCATCTCACGACACATATGCTGTGGACAAGTACACTGGCAACAGGCCTACTTATTTATTACTGTTAGCATGATGTGGTATTTTTGACAGTGGTTCACAAACGTCTCTACTACTCAGAATTCACAACAGCACCATTTAAAAATATAAATCACACTCTAGCCCTGTGTGGTGTGGCTCAATGGATTGAGTGCCAGCCTGCAAATCAAAGGATCACCAGTTCGATTCCCAGTTGGGGCACATGCCTGGGCAGCAGGCCAGGTCCCCAGTAGGGGGAGCACGAGAGGCAACCACACATTGATGTTTCTCTCCCTCTCTCCAAAAATAAATGAATAAAATCTTTTAAAAAATGATGATTCTTTAAAATAAAATAAAAATATAAATCACACTCCTCAACCCAATCCTAGTAAATCTAAATCTCCCAAAGGTGGGCCTCAGAAATCTGCATTTCTCACAAGCTCTCCAAAATGATTCTGAGGCAGCTAGACTTGTGCCCATACTTCGGTTAATAGCATGAGTTCTGGCGTCAGATTTGGTCCAAATTATGGCTTTACTTTGTGACTTCAGGTGTCATTTCACCTCTGAGCTTTATCTCCTTTTGGGTCATAAGCTGTAGAAATAATGTTTTACTTTTATAAATAAACTGGCAGCTTGTTGTAATGTAAAAAACAGTGTAAAAAGAAGAAAAAAAAAGTGTCCCAGTTTCCTCTTAGGTACAATGGGTATGGAAAAACTTCCCCCACCACTCTCCCTTGCTGCTTCTTCATGTCCTCCCTCTGTACTACCAGCTCACCAAGACTGCCATTGATATGGTTTGAGACCAATGTAAAAAGGCTCTCTAGTCAGCTCAGTTGAGCAAGTAGCATTTGCAGGACAACTGACTTGGGTGCAAAATAGGATGCTGATAGGTATTTGCTGTGTGATTCAGGGCAAAATACATAACATCTTTGTGTCTGCTTCCTTATCTGTAAAATGGAGATAGTAATCCTTGCTCACTAATTCTATATAAATCCAAATGGACCCTCCTATGTCCACTTTGGCTCTTCTCCACTAACACTCAATCTGAGAGCAGAGAGGAGTATTTACAAGAGGTAGCCTTTGAAATCAAACATGTCGAGTTGGGCAGGAGCTCTGCACTTCCTGACTTGGGCAGGAGCTCTGCACTTCCTAACCGTATGGCCTGGGTGCCTAAGTCCCCTGTCTGTTAAATGGGCATGCTGCTACCTCCTTCTCAAGGCTTCTGAGAAGAATCTCACATGACTCCACTCCAGGAAGACAAACAATCCAATTTAAAAAATGGGCAAAGGACCTAAACAGAGACTTTTCCAAGGAGGACATACACAGGGCTCAGAGGCATATGAAAGGCTGCTGAGCATCACTAGCCTACAGAGAGATGCAAATTAAAACCACAATGAGGTACCACTTCACACCAGTCAGAATGACCATCATAAACAAATCAACAAACAAGTGCTGGTGAGGTTGTGGAGAAAAGGGAACCCTAGTGCACTGTTGGTGGGAATGCAGACTGGTGCAGCCACTGTGGAAAAGTTTGGAATTTCCTCAAAAAGCTAAAAATGGAACTGCCTTTTACCCAGCAATTCCACTGTTTGGATTAGTGCCCAACAGTAAATGAGTGGATCAGAAAACTATGGTACAGTTACACAATGGAATACTATGCAACAGAAAGAAATAAAGAGCTACTACCCTTCGTGACAGCATGGATGGAACTGGAGAGCATTATGCTAAGTGAAATAAGCCAGAGGGCAAAAGACAAGTACCATATGATCTCACCTATAAGTGGAACCTAATCAACAAAACACACAAGCAAGAAAAATATACCTAGCAACACTTAAAGAAAAAATAAACCGACAGTAACCAGAGGTGAGGAGGGTGGGGGGGGGGGGGAACGGGAAAAAGAAGGGGAAGGGTCAACTCAACAAACATTTATAAAGGACCCATGGACAAAGCCAAAGTGGGAAAGGATTGAGGGTGGAAGGAAGAGGTGACTGGGGTAGGGCAAAGTGGTGGTGGGAAAATGGAGACAACTGTACTTGAATAATAAAAAAAATAATTTTAAAAGAGAAAAAAAGGAATCAATGAATGTCCCTGCAAGCGCATTTGCACGCACAAAGCGCTCAGTAAATGCTTTTCTCCCATTCCCCTTATACAAAGGTGAGGAACTGCTATTGTTCAATTGATTTCTGTCCCACCTCGTGTTTAAGGCATCCAGGAGCAAAGCGCGAAGGAAAGTGAGGTAGAAGGGGAGGGGAGAAGGGAAGCGAGGGGAAAAGCAGCAAACTTACGCGTAAAATACAAATTGGCCGGTTCCGTGAGTCTGAGCTGCACTTGACACCGCTCTGGCTCCCGCGCCTCTGTGCCGCAGCCCCCACCGGGTGGTTCCTCACCTTATGCTAGCAATGGGGCCCGAGGCGGCACTGGGAGGCCGCCTCCGCGCCCCCCTGATTGGCCGCGCCTCCCGGCTCATCACACTCTTTTGTCTCAATGGGCAAAGGCTGAAAGAAGCGGCGGCTGTTGGGAAGGCCCAGCGGGTAGGCGGAAGTGGACACGGCTGCCGTGGGAACCGTGCGGCCTCCACTCAGCTCCCCCTTGCTGGGCGGCCGGGCGAAGCAACTTGTTCTAGCATCCCAAAGTCGCTTAGCGGCAGGAGAGGCGTCATTTCCCCCTCCCCCGTTCCCTGCCCCAGGCCCTCGGAGACGCGAAGGCGGCACCTACCGCGGTCCACGCAGGACCATCCGCTGCACTCCCGGCCGAGTACAGGTAAAGAAAGGGCGTGCAACTGCCTGAGGCGGAGAGAGGCCCAGGGGGCTAGCCCCAACAGGACTGCGCGGCTCCATGCTTGGTAAACCGAAAACTGTGAACTAGGGGTAGGAGCTCCCTCCCGTACCTCGGCTGCGCTGAGGGAGGAGGTGGGGTGCCACTGAATGCTGCCTAATCGGTAGGATTTGCCTGGATTGAGAAGGAGGGATCTCGGAGTGGGGCGTGGTAAGTGGCTGGGGCGGAGTAGGGGGGTGTTGGGAATCGCTAGCTATTTGCCTTTAACCCCTTTGTATCTCATCTCTTCCTGGGGAGGAATATGTGGGTGTGCATGTCCAGCTCCTATTCCCTCTCTCAGTGACAGGCCATCGAAGCCGAATGCGAATTTGAATGCTGTGCGGCTGATTGCGGAGCTGGTAGGCCAACTATTTTCTTGGGAAAATGTAATGGAGGGGTCAATTTGGCTTGTATTCATAATATGGGAGAGGGAATTTCCCATCTAGTTACAGAGGTTAGAGAGGGAGAGCGGGATGAGGGAATGAAGCAGCTTCTGACTCTTCTCTACCCTGATTTACCCCTCCTTGATGATGCAGTCTTGACAGCGTGAGAGCTGGAATATTCAACCACATGTGGCTAAAGGTCGACCTACTCTAGAAGCAAGCTTTCACATACACCGAGGGCACCTGTTGCAGAGGCTAGACAGGAAATAAAGGCATGCTCTTGTTTTGGAGCTCAGGTACGAATCTGAGAAATAGCTGGCAATCTTTGAGAAGGGCCTATAGTTGAAACCTGAGACCAAGAGCTTAATCAAGATCTTACTGATTACCACAAATCTGTGAGACTTAGACTATTACACTCTGTTTTGAGAGCCAGTTCAGATCCACACAGTATTTTACCTGGAATTAGAAGCTACAGTTTGCCCACCTTCCTCCATCCTGAAGTACTGGCGGGAGGGGATGGATATGACTCTGGAAAGAATCCTTGCTAGCAAGGGATACCTGCTAGCTCCATAATGTTGTAATTGATGGTTTCCAGCAGGGTAATTTTAGGGCAGTGGGCAAATATAAAATGTACTGCATGGCATTCAGGAAGGGTGAGAATGCTACAATAGACTGTTTCCCTGAGGTCTACTACCTTGTTGACATTCCCCCCGCCCCGCCTTTTTCTTTATAGTTCCTATTGATATACAAGGAATGCAGAGCCCAGGAACATTGCTTTGAGGATTCCTCCTGCAAATTAGGCTTTTCTGAAAAGCCTGCGCATCTTGTTATATATAGATGGTCATTAATCATTTTGTTGCATGTGTGGCTAATAGCTGGTATCAGGCCCATTCCATTCTGAGGTCCCTGGGGAGCAGTCTTGGTCCTCTAAGGGTTAACACTGCAGAATGAAATGAGAAGTTTTCCAGGAGGGGAAGAAACCTTTGAAAACTGGTTAATCCAAGTCAATGGGGTCCTGCCAGATTGGAATATGTCTGAGGAGGAAAAGCTCAAGCACCTGATGAAAAAAGCCTTAGAAGCTCAGGGGGTTATGCATTTGCTCCAGGCAGCCAACACCAGCCTAAGTGTGGCAGATTTCATGTGGGCAATGAAATTGGTGTCTGGGGAGTCTGAAAGCACTGTGACTGCTCATGGTAAATTTTTAAACACCCTACAGGAACAAGTGGAGAAAGCCTCCCTTTATGTGATCTGTTTAGAGATGCAGCTCCAGGATGCTGTTCAGGCATGGATCATAGCTGAGAAAGATGCAAACCAGGCTTGCCTGCACCAGTTCCTTGTATGGGCTAAGCTGAATGGGGACCTGCACTCCAGGCTGAAGCATCTCCTCAGGATGCATGCAAATGGTCAGGAGCATCTTTCCAATTTCCTGGAGTTAATCAAGATGGTAAGGGAGGAGAGGATTGGGATGATAATTTTATGAAGCAGAAACAGACCAAGAGATCTGAGCTAATCATGGAGAGGTCAGCAAGCCATGTGACATTTCAGAGTCTCCAGCCAATTGTGATCAGCAGTGCAGACTGTAATGTAATAGAGCTAGATGATATGCTCAGTGACTCAGATGAGGGTGTGATCCTGGTGGACCCTCCACTTCCATCCATGGGTGGCCCTCCCCTCAGAGACAGGGCCAGACCTCGAGATCAAACACTGGTCATTGATTCCACCAAAAGTTCCCAGGTTCAATCTCCTTCCATCATTGGTGGTTCTGGGTATTAGAATGGTGATCCCGGGGATATGCATAGAGCCAGGAAGCAAAAATACACAATCTGCTGTTCATATTGTAGCAAGGACAGCCACTCCAAGGACACCTGTGACAATGAAGAAACAAGACCCAGGTATTTGAGAACTTGACCATCAACCGCCATGAGCTGACACATATGGAGGAGTCAAAAGAGGTCCCTGGTGAACACAATGACCTCTCTCAGCCACAGTAAGGTGCTAGACCCAGCCCTATGTGATCCCTTAGCTATATTCAAAGACTAATGATAACAAAAATGGGTGGGAGTAGGTTTCTATTTGCATGGATTAATCCACAAAGTGGTTTTCTTTAGGGAAGAAAAGGTCAGATACCAGCAAAGTGGAAGGTATGGCCCGACCTCTATCCCTGCTCACTCCTCTCTCTCCCTAAGGGTCTATTCTCTGTGTGTCTATTTCCTTGCTGACTTTATTCATTTTATAAAATAAGTATAACTTTCTTAAACCTTCAAAAATGTAGAAAAATGGAAAAAACGTACTAATTACCTGACACTTTCCACTTATATAACCATTGTCAGCTCTTTGATGAATGCCCTTCTAGATATTTCCTTATACCTCAGTACCCAGATAGATGTATGTACAAATAAAAGTGATAGAATATAAGTGTTCTATGCTATGTATTTTTTCACCAAGTAATATATGTGGTGAACTTCTACGTCAATGATTATATATATATATATAAAATTTTTATATATTATGTATATATAAAAGCATCAAGTTTAATGTTCCTGTGTATGATATTGTAACAGGGCAAACCAGGGTTTGGCCATGTCATGCCTTGACACATGGCACAACAATTAGTGTTGAAGGAAACAGGTTTTTATTAACAGAGTTCCAACCTCAGGGTAGGAGTGCTGAGAGCACTTCTGCTCAGAGCCCTCCCCTCCCACAAGATTCAGAACTTCCCTTTTTCCCTACCAGGCTAGAAGCCAAAACCATGACCAGAAGTTCCCCCATATCCTTATCTGTCCTTAAGCCAGTCATGCAAACAGGTCTCCTTCCCCTCTGGAAGGTGCACTTGTGGATTTTAGAGTCACCATCCTCTCACAGCAGCTCTCTCCTTCAGGATCTGGGGTACACTGTTCCCAGCCTCCATACCATGGCTCAGGAATACATGTGCCATGTTATACTGGATCATGGTAGAGTCCAGGGAAGTGACTTCTCTGTACGTCCTTCAGAGAAGCTGAAATCTGCAACGCAGCATTCCCAGTCAGTTCAGCTCCAGGCATTTCCCACGAATCTATGCTTGGTTAGACAGGTCCCCACAGCTCTATCAGCTCTGCTATGGTCTTCCCTAGTCTGGCGTTCTCCCTCTCTAGACCTCGTGGTACACTCCCGTGTCTCTCTTACTTACTTACTTACTTATTTACTTCTCTTCGTGGTGGACTTTCTCCTACATCCTTTTCAGCCCACCCTCATTTAAATGCTTGGCCCAGAACTTCCTATATGACCATATCTGGCTCCTCCTATGATGTGTTAGCTTCTGCCATTTTTGTCCGTTCCTCAGTATCTCTTACCTAATTTGGCTGCCATCTTTAGTCAGGACAAGAGTTCCCAGTGACATAGGGGCATCCAGGGTGGGCATCTGCCTCCCCTGGCTATGTCACAAGTTACTATACGCTCTTAAAGTCATGTACACCTTTCGTCCTGGGCAGCAGCTCTCTTCCCTTCAGGAAAGGGATGGCTATTAACTTGCCATTGTTATGCAAAGAATCTTAAACACCATCATCCATTTTCCCTTTCCCCCAAACAAGGGTTGTGGGGGATATACTCTGCTATTTCCAGTGGATCCCCACCCTGCACCCCATTACAATTCCCCTCTCTTAGACTTCTGGGCCCTTTGTAATCTTACAAAGGATAATGGGCGAAGGTCTTATAATCTTCTGGATCTATATCCTGCTGGCTATGGTCATAGTCCTACTTACCCCTGGGTCCAGCAATCCCATAAAGAGCGTGGGTTTAGAGCAGAGGGTGGCCTTCACACCAAGAGAAGGACCTTGCAGAGTCCATGTCACTTGGCTGTCCCTGGGGAGTGGCATGCTTGATGTCCAAAGGTTTGCACTGCTGGACAAGTTAGGATCCTTGTCATATTCTGGAGGCAACACATTAGGGAAGGGGGTTAAAAGGCACAATTAAAACCATAACCACTAAATGATAAAGGTAGGGACCAATTTTATAATGTCCCACATTAGGAAAAGAGTGGCTTCCCTAGAGGAAGGAATGCAAAGCATGTCACATCTGTCCAAAGCCCTTTTGCTCATTATACTTAGCTTGGGCTGAGGGGAATACTTTAGGATCTCCCCCTTTTTAGACCTCTGGGCCCTTTCTGTCCAAGCCATCAGAGCAGAAAAGGAAACCAATTTTTAAAGTGAAGCCCACAGACTTCCCCATCCTTCACCAACCCAACCACTTAATTCAGCCAAACTGTTGAGTCTCAAGAGGCAGTGATGCAGATGAGCCTAAGTGAGGTTTATATTGTATAACCAGTCACTCAGGTAATGAGGTCATAGGCTTAGACCCTGTGAAAACAGAAGGAAGAACACACAATAAATCACACAACAGCCTACAAACAAGTCACTGAGTCTGTGAGACTGTGTTTTGGGCGGACATCTAGTTGCAAGGCCTTTCCTGGAATGACATTTAACAGTGGCAATTTGAGAGATCCTTCCTGCCAGTAAATTGAACATCTCTGATGATGTCACAGACCCAGTTTCAACTTCCACATGAAAACAAACTTCGAAGAGAGCTAGCTACAATAGTCTAATGTCCACCACTGAGCATTGTGATTTTCCTTGAATCACAATTTTTCTCCTTAAGATCACCTTCATTGTCATTAAAGGGAATGCATTAAATCCAGTTTTAATTTTACCTATTTGTTTGCACAAACACAACAAGAGCAACAATTGATCACATATGATTTTTAAGTCTGCTTTGCTGGAACTCACACAAGGAACATTCAATTTTTTACATTTTTTAAAAGATTTTATTTATTTATTTTTAGAGAGCTGGGAAGGGAGGGAGAAAGAGAGGGAGAGAAACATCGATTTTTGAGAGATACATCTATTGAAGAGCTGCCTCTCACATGCCCCCAACTGGGGACGCTGCATACAACCCAGCCATGTGCCCTGATTGGGAAATGAACCAGCGCCCCTTTGGTTTGCAGGCCAGCACTCAATCCACTAAGCCACACCAGCCAGGGATCACACAGGGAACCTTTAGATTGACCCTTTAGTCCACCCTTCAGGGTACAGAAGCTAAGCTACACACCTGCCATCTGGCTTTGCCTGTAGCGCCTTCTTCTCTTAAGTCCTTGAGGTTTTCATTGTGCCTTAAGGTTCCTCCTAGCCATCCTTCAGGAAAGCAACCTTCATTCCTTCCCTGGAAAGACTGCCATGAACTGCACAACCACCCAAGTTACTAGGCCTTTTCACCAGTGGGCCTTTTTTTCCTTTTAGCTTCAAAAGTCAATCCCAATTCATAAAGGTTTCCTGGTAATGGCCAGAGCCCAGGCATGCATCCTTCAGGCATGACATTCCAGTCAAAGTCTTGACCAACAAAAACAACATTGGAAACTGGTCTTATTGGTTTTATGCAAAGAAACCCTATGTCATCACTCCTTCAGAATGCCAAATTCTGGAGGGATCAGGTTGAGAGAAAAATATAAAGCAGGAAGAAAAATCCTTGTCCTTCTAATATCCACTAAAATTGCATTTCCATGCCTTATACTTTCCCTTGTTCACTTTCCAACATAATGCAAAGTTTTAACTCTTCCTGGGGAACCTCAATTTTCTTCCAGAACAGAAACAAAGCAAAATCCAAAGCAAAAACATAGTTCCAAAAGAAGTGGGACTAGAACTAACTTTTGAATCTTGTCTCATCTCCCACCAGTCCCTCTTACCAGTCATACAGGCAAGCTTTCCTTATCACAATATTACTTTTAGGGATATAGAGGAAAAATAAGAAAACTAAATATGGAAGCTATAATGAGGAGGGTCGTACTGTGCAGTAGAGTTTTTTATCAACCTCCTTTAGAGATGAGAAGGAAAGCTGAAATGGGCTGACTATCTCCCAAAGAAGCCCTTATCACAATTGGTCTCCTAAATCACAGAGTCAAGTCTGCATCCATTACTTAATAATGTCCCAATGCTTTCTTCTCTAATGCATCTGAGAAATCTAATGAAGAGATGGGGGTGGGGGAAAATGCCAAATGGGTACTTCAGGGGCTCCATTCTTGTTCACTTTTGGAAAGGGCAGCTCTTCCTTCCCTGGGTAGATTCCATATATTACTGCTACTGCTGCTTCTGGACAAAGCCTGGTGGCAACAAGACTGTCCTTTAGGCTGACACTACCCTCTCTGTCTCTTCCTCAATTGCCAAGAAAGTAGCTACTCTCGAGATTCTGGTACCAGGAGGTTCAGGCCACCCAAGCTTCACCTTAGCTGCATGCTAGCTCAAGGATTCCAAGCTAACTTCGCCCAGATCCAAGAATAGGAATAGCAAGGGAAAGAGGAAAAGCACTCTGAATGTCAGGGCATGTAAAAAAAGTATAGGAATTAGAAGGCTCAAATACCCTTTTAGAACTAAAGGCATTAATAGGAGACAGAAGACATAGAAGGACCTTCCTGGCCTTCTGCTCCATCTCAGCCTCAGATTGGAGGGTGATACAAAATGACTTGTGGCCTCAGTCCCTAAGGGTCCCATATTCCTTGCAGTTTTCAGTTCCTGTTCTTCTGAGCAGGACAAGGTTTGTGGGGGGATGATTTCTTTTATGGTAGGGAGTGGGGTGAATGAAATGAATGCAGACCTGAGGGAGTTTGTCAGGAAGGAAATAGGGGCTCTGCTGGGCTGAGAGGACAGGGTGTACTGCAGTGGGAGATGGTGTGTGGAGGAAAGAAGGCATAGATGTGTGAGGAGGAGAGAGGAAGATGGGGGAGAGGGTAGATGACCAGGCTGGGGACTCACATCTAGATTGACAGGAAGCCTGGTAGGAACTGCAGACCCAGAGGATTCACACAGAACCCTGGGCTATGTGGTCCTGAGGGAATGGAGGTATTAGGGCTCTAATTATGCTAGCAGTGGATGGCCTGCTCAACAGGGACAAAGGGGTACCCTAGGATGAGGCCCAGGGGGAGGGGAGAGAAGCCAGGCACTGCCAGAAGCCCACTGCAGCCTTCCCTGGG